TTAAGGTATGGTCCTAACCTATAGAGTCAATTCAATATTTTTTTTAAAAAAATTCAAATTTCACTATTTTTCAATCGATATTATAATGACAGGAGATACATTTTTATAACTCCTCCAGTGCTACTGTTTAGATTGAAAATGCTTGGAAATAAATATGCATTTACAAGATTTATTCACTTTCCAAAGTAAAGACTTCATTAACTTTCTCTTTCATTCACAGAACTGTATGAAAGTTCTGTGATCAACTCAAAGTCTAGCTTGTTGGGGTAGCTTTGAGTTCCAGAAGAATCAAGGATGGAAGGAAACCACCCATGCAAAGGAAGTTTTCTTTAAGATGGTGTTGAAATAATATCATTCCCATCCAGTTTCACTATTTCCAGCAAGGCTTTATCCAATCCTATCTTGGTGCTCTTCGCAAATGTCTTGGTCATCTTCCGCTCATCTAAAACCCATGAGAACCATATCATGTTTTGAAATTCATCCCTTTCTCAGAGCTCTCTCTCTTTGGGTATTTTTCCACAAGCCATACAGCTGAAATCTTCCACAACAAACCTTCAGTGTCTATAGCAGACCTTGATCAAGTCTCATGTATTCCATCTTTGTAAAGCTCAGTTCATACTTCACGCAAATTCATAGCTCGAATTGGAAAGGGTGTATGAAAGAAACCATTATAAATCAATAGAGTTACATAGTAATGCTGGTAGCAATACAGCCACCTCATAGTAGATTATACTCTGCTTTTAGAAGGCTGAAGTAGTCATTGAAAACATAGATATTTCAAGTCATGTCAGCCAGCCTCTCTTCTAATTGTACTCTTCTACCTCTACTACAAGATTTTGCAATTCAAATACATCAGAATCTGTCACAGGACAGGTGACATGATAGGTTTCATCATGCCCCTCTTAAAAAAAGAAGTATCATGCTTTGATCTGTACCAGCCTTTCTAGGCTCTATTTAGTCATGTAGAAAATGGTATTTAAATGGGAAACATGATGTGACAGCACATGACAGCACATGAATTGAATTTCTGGGGGGAAAAATAACTTTTAATTTTGTAGCATTCAGCCTGCAATTTGATTTCTGTTATTCCTGCCCTTTGCCCTGCTGATTTTGCAAGTGGGGAGATTTTAAAATTCTTGGTGATTTTGACACAGTTTCAGCTTTCTGTGAGGATTCCTTTGCCAATAACACCAATTCCTCCAATTAAAGTTTTGTTGACCTTAAAAAGCATCTTGCAGGAGAACATTCTTCTGCATTCCTTCTGCACCAGAAACAGACATACAAGTAAAATATCTACAATTTTTACTACAAAAGGCAAAAATTATCTTTCGGGGGGGATACATGCATCGGTGTCTACAGAGGGGCAGAAACACTGAATGTAGGTGATGAGGTCACCTGGATTCCTGTTTGATGCAGCTTCTCCTTTGCATACAATTTTGCCTCTGTTCCTCTATCCAAAATTTTGACTCATCCTGGAAGGACAAATGATTAGCATTGCTATGAGGACTGAGAAATGTCAGATTTGCCTTTTGCTTTGAAACAAAGCATTCCGCTTCGATAGTTTTCACTGTACACATACAATAAAGATATTTTGGTTTTCTTATGTTAAAAACCTGAACAATGGCATTACCAGCCAAAATAACCCACTTTTGCATTAAAATTGATCGGACTGGCAAGTAGTTCAGTGTGCTGTAAAATGGAGGTGTACGCCCTTCTGTTTGAACATCCTGCCCTTTCTTTCATGCATAGACACCCACTGCTACAGACTGCAGATTTTTAAAAAATATGTAATTACTAGCCGCCATTCAGAAATGGGTATATATGGGCAATGTCCATATGTGCAAAGCTTGCTATGTTGTGCAGTTGGGTGGGTGTCTGCATTGTATTTGTCTTGTTCCTGCAGCAGATTTTCAGGATTGTTCTCGTGGATTAGTTGCCATGCAACAAGTGCACAGTCATACAGCTCGTGATCATCTGCCTTCCCTGTGGTAATCTGAGTAATGTTAAAATAAAGATGTGGTTTGCTTATGGAGTGGCTGGGTGACTTGCTTAACATCTGTGTAAAGATGGCATCTGTGCCTGACAATTGGAAGATTGCCATTATTGTTCCCTTGTACAAAGGGAAAGGTAGCAAGAATGAATGCAAAATCTTGGGAAGAGCTGGGTGTATCTTAGCCTATTAGGTATTTGTGGGGAGATGTTTGGCAGAATTCTGACTGAAAAGATAAAAGAGGTGACAAGGAACAATACCAGGGAAATGCCATCTGGCTTTATGTGTGTATCTTTTTTATATAGTTAATAGTGTGTGGTTGTATGAGAATATAAATGAATTGCAGCAAGTCAAATAGCAACAAGAAACATAAAAAACATTGTTTGGCTGAAAAATGTTACACGTTATACATAGGGCAAGTTGATAAGTAGATGTACATTAATGAAGTGTATACTAAAATAGTGAAACAAGAATTTTCAGACGTGCAAATGCTGGTCAAAAGGTGGTAGGTGGTGTATGGTTTATGTAGAGATAAATGAATGTAAATCAAAAGTAGGACAACCACTGTTGAAGAACAGACTTCTATTTAACTTATTATATGGAAATATTTGGATTTCTCAGGGGAAGAAAGGAAATTGAACTTACGTGTGTATGAGAGAAAAGAAGCAAATCTTAATGCTTCATATCTCATATCTTCATTTCACTTCACCAGGTGCCCTGGTGGCATAGTGGTTAAATGCAGTATTGCAGGCAAACTCTGCTCACAGTCTGGAGTTTGATCCTGATGGAGCTCAGGGTTGACTCAGCCTTCCATCCTTCCGAGGTCAGTAAAACAAGGATCCAAATTGTTGGGAGCAATATGCAAATAAAGCTGATATTGTAAATCACCCATGGAGAGCTGTAAAGCACAATGGGATGGTATATAAGTCTAAATCCTATTTCTATTATTATTTCTTTGGCTCATTGTTAACGCTTCTCTATACATCGTTTATCCTGAAAGGCATGATAAGTATGTATAAATGCATGTAAGTTGATTGTGCCATCAAATCAATGTTGATTCAACAGATTTTTTCCAGGACAATCATCCTCAATCTGGTCCTTCAGGTCTTCCTGAAGGCACCCATCATCACTGTAACTGAGTCCACCCAGTCGACACTGTTTGTCATCTTCTTTTCTTTTCTTCCACCTTTCCCAGCATTATGGTTTTCTCCAGGGATCTGGGTCTCCGAATAATGTATCCGAAGTATGATAATCTGAGCTTAATCATCTGTGCCTCCAGGGAGAACTCTGGGGTGATTTATTCAATGGTCCATTTGTTGGTTTTCTTGGCTGTCAGTGGTATTCTCAGCAATCTTATTCAGCACTAAAGTTCAAAAGTGTCAATATTCTTTTTATCCTGCTTCTTCAAAGTCCAAGGCATATACGTAGAATTGACTAAAAGACAAAAGGAACCACATTGGCTTTTGTGTGGCTTTGAATACTGTAGCCCCTTCCCCCAACTGTAAAATGTTTCTCTATGCTGTTTGAAATTAGGGCTACAGGAGAAAAGGCTTTGTCAACTGCAACGCCTTGGTGCCCCCTCATGGCCAGTCTATAGATCACACTTTGCAGCCTCTCTATAATTGACATTATACTGAATCTGAAGTGTCCTCAAATGGCCATATTAGCTGGAGAAATATTAGTTATAATCCAACACATCTGAGAGGCATCAAACTCAGAAAAAGTGGTTTAAATTGAGAGAAAAATAACAATCAAACAGTGGAAGTCCCGAGTTCAAAGTGAATGCATAAACTGCCAAGACAAGTCCTCCCAACCACCTCTGTTTATTTGTTCATCTTTTGGAAGCTGAGGTGGATAAAGAAAAATAGGAAATGGTGTAGCAAGAGATGAAAAAGAAAATATTTAGGTAGCACCTCAGCTAGCAATATTTTGAACCAATGCCACACAGGGATATTACTCAAAGCTTTGATTTCTATGTTAGATGCATTAAGATGTCAATGGAAGATTGTACACTCATCTGTCTGCTATTCCATGGGGCACTTAATGGGAATTTTATCAAACTTCCAACAGCATATTTCTCAATTGTCATGAAAAGGCCACCAAGTGTCAAATCTTTCCCACGCCCTCCTGCAGTAAATTGTATTAATTTGCTCAGCGATTTTTCCCTCGTTCATTTGGTGGGGAAAACCCCTAGATTGGTACCTTTAAGAAATGTTATTAGAGAATATAATGTACTGGTAGTATCCCTTATAGTGTGTGAAATGGCAGGCTGGGCACATAAAGCAGCTCAATTGCTACCTTGTTAGTGTCTCTCCAAGGTGTCTTCCACCCTGATGATTGCCAATTGGATTTTAGTCATAATATTGTTCTGGGCATATCTGTACAATATGTGAAAGAGTGCAAGGATGATTCTTCTGTCCACTGATACATTCAAGGGAGAGTTACCCATTTTGGGTATGCTAATATGTGCTGTTGTGTGTGCTAATATGTGTGGCCTACTAATGAAAACTACACTTCTGTAGCTTCGGGTTGCTTCAGCACATTCAATAAAATAGAGCAGAGCTATCTGCAAAATAATTTTATTAATACAACGCTAATTATCTCGAAAGATCGGCAAGTGCTGGGAGGTAGGCAGGACAATAAGCGGTGCAGAGTTCTACAGTTAGTTCTAGTAATGGACTACAACTCCCATTATCCTTATATCATTCCTCTATCTAAGGCGATGATGGCTGTCACAGTCTAACACAACTCTTTTAAATGTGGTGGGACTCGAGCTTTACAAGCCTATTTCTCTGCCTCCCTGCAGTCCCGAAGCTCTTCCCCCGCGCTGCATCATTGCAATCACCCCTCCCTTTTCTAGCCAGACCTGCTCCTACAATACCCAGCATCCCCGCGCCTCTCCCTGCCGCTGGGTTGTAAACGTAATAAACACGCGCCACGGTCGCCTTTTCCTTGACAAGCCTACGTGTCCCAACCTGCGGCGGGAAACCGTGATGCAGAATGCCTGCGACCGCCGAATGAACGGCGCCAACAGCTGCTGCCGTCCCCACTCGTGCTGTGGCCGCCGCCGCCTTACCTCCTGCTGGGAGTAGAAGGGCAACGGCCGCGGTGGGGGTGGGGGTGGGATGGCGGAGCCCGGCGGGACATCCTCAGGCTCGGGCGGGGCTGGAGGGAATTCCTCGGGGCCGGGCGGGACCGACCCGGCTTCGCTGCCCCCCGGCGACGCGCAGCTCATCGCCCTCATCGTGGGCCAACTCAAGAGCCGCGGCCTCTTCGACGCTTTTCGCCGGGACTGCCTGGCCGACGTCGACACTAAGGTACCGCTGCTTCCATTGTAGGGAGCTTAATAACCCCCTTCAATAATCCGATCCGGATTTGGTGGGGAAACGGGGACAAAAGAGCGCTCCAGTTGCCTCTGCCGGTAACAAAGGGCTCCTGTGTTTTTAGCTAGGCTCCTCTGTTGATTTGAATGTGGACATCGTTTCTCCTCCACATCTGGACTGATCGCTGCACAGCCGTGCTCTGTTTCCCAACTAGAACTAATCCGGATGGGGTGCTTGTAAACGAACCATAAAATAACATTGTAAGCCCATTGGGAAGGTGAGCTTTTTGTCCTCTTTCATGGGGCCGCTCAGATTCTTTCAGGGTTAAGTCGCTAATGAGACTTAAAATAAGGGACATTGAGAACCAGTGTTCTGGATGTGAGAAATTACTGAACTTTGTATCATGTTAAGGAGCAAGAATATACGACATTAAATCCTAGGTATTAAATTATTATAATTTCTGTAGCCTGGCAGCATATAGGATCAGACGTCTTAGTGTTCTTTCTGTGCAAAGTAAATTTCAGTACAGAAATCACTGCCTCTATAATAAAGGACTGAAACTGCTAATTTTGTTGGTAAAAGTTACCACATTGTTAAACTACCTGTGCACGTTCTTGCTTGGAATTTATACTGTAATATGGATGGGGGCGCGGTGGCTCAGTGGCTAAGACGCTGTGCTTGTCAATCAAAAGGTCGGCAGTTCAGCAGTTCAAATCCCTAGTCCCATGTAATGGAGGAGCTTCTGTTACTTATCCCAGCTTCTGCCAACCTAGCAGTTTGAAAGCATGTAAAAAATACAAGTAGAAAAATTCCCACCTTTGGTGGGAAGGTAACGGTGTTCTGTGCACCTTTGGCATTTAGTCATGCCGGCCACATGACCACGGAGACGTCTTCGAACAGTGCTGGCTCTTCGGCTTTGAAACAGAGATGAGCACCACCCCTAAAGTCAGGAACAACTAGCACATATGTGGGAGGGGAACCTTTACCTATGAATGGGGAAAGATAAAATTTTGTAAAGTTGTCCTCTTATTGTAAGCAGCCAAATAAGTTACTGTGTATTTAAAGCAACGCATAAGCCTTGGGTTCATAGTTATTTAATTAGATTAGTGAGTTAATTTGTATGTTGCCAAATCGAAACAGCTTCAAGGCAGCTACCAGAATATAGAAACATAGAAAATGGATGGCAGGAAAAGAGCCAATCCATCGAATCTGCGCTTTGAGTTTTTTATTTGTGTTTTTATTTATTTTATTAATTTATTAATCTCATTTGATAATAGACAAGTATCCCAAGCATGTTTAAACTCAGTTACTGATTATTGGCCCACTACTTTCGCTGGAAGTTGGTTCTGAGATTCCTCTTCTCTTTCTGTGAAGGAATACTGTCTAACTCTAAACATCAGTTAGAGCAGCATAATAAAACATCTTGTTTATTGTCCAACAGCTTAAGGAACTTAATAAAACATATGCAAAAGAAATAGCCGACAAAATATCTAGAGTAACAACTAACATTTAAAATGTCCGTAATAATATCACTATCCAAGATAATTATAGAGGGCTTTCCCATTTTTACTGCTTTCTGGAAGACTTGCATTAGTAAATTATTAACTTATTATAGGTATAACTGTTGTTGTTTTGTATTATAGTTGCTTCTTAGCCACAGTGCTTAGTTTTGACCTTTTGAAAGAAGTTTAGCAAGCTATGATGTTTTTAACAGCACTTGCATGGGGAGAGTGCATGGGAAATGATATTCTGCATTTAGTACTTCAATCTTTACGGGGTTAATATAACTGAATAAGAGTTGTATCCCTAAATAATACTGTCTAAAATCCCAAAGAGAGAGATGGACCAATGATTTAACTTATATAACACAGCAAACTAATATATCTGAACTGGAACATTTTAGTTTCAAAGACCCTCGTTAAGCCTAAAACATTTAGTCAGATGAATGTAATCAATAGGACATTGTTAAAGAATCTACTTTAAATCCTTGCACTGGCTGCATATACACTACATGATCCCCATTACAAGCTCCTTATTTTCCCTTCTGAGCCATTCCAATAGTAGTTGTATTTATGACCATTTGAAGGCCTTCTGCTCTTTCAGAATCTATTTTGTCTTGTGAAAGCTTTCACTTTTAAGAATTTAGACAATATTTCCTGTCAAGTCCTGATCAGCTGTGATCTTGGTCAAAACCCAGTTTAGGAAGGCTATGTATGTTTGCTGAAAGTTAATATACATAACAAAATACATCAACACAAATTTTATTTTATTTTTTATTAGATTTCTATACCGCCCTTCTCCCGAAGGACTCAGGGCGGTGAACAGCCAAAGTATAAAACACAAGAATACAAAATTTAAAATAAATTAAAACAGATTAAACAATTTGGCTCAATTTTAAAAATATCCCATAATTAAACAAATTAAAATTAGTATTTAAAATTTAAATTTTAAAATTTTAAAAAGGAGAAGATTTAGGCCAGGCCAGCTTGATGGAATAAAAACGTTTTAAGCGCGCGGCGGAAGGTGCACAGATCCGGGATCCTCCGTATCTCCGGGGGGAGCTCGTTCCAGACTGTAGGTGCCCCCACAGAGAAGGCTCTCCCCCTGGGGGCCGCCAGTCGACATTGTTTGGCCGACGGCACCCGGAGGAGCCCCTCTCTATGGGAGCGTACTGGTCGGTGGGAGGCTATTGGTGGTAGCAGGCGGTCCCGTAAATAACCAGGTCCTAAGCCATGGAGCGCTTTAAAGGTGGTAACCAGAACCTTGAAGGGCACTCGGAAGACCACCGGGAGCCAGTGCAGCTCGCGCAGGAGAGGTGTTACATGGGAGCGCCACGTTGCAATAAGCAATACATATAATACATATACATATACAATACACGTAAGCAATACATATTTTATTAAAACTGTACTGATTAGTAAAACAAAAAAAATATTGAGATTTTAGTTATGGTCAGATGACAAAACATGAAGATAATGCACATTAGGACATCTCATTCAATGCCCAGATCATGAGAATGTAAAAAAGGAGACCAGATGTACCCAACAATAGCCCAACCAAATATATGCCTTAAATGTATTAGTATTATGCATGACTGTAGAACATGTATTAGTCAGAGCACATGACTGTGATATGGCAATGTTTGTGATCAATTTAAATAAAAGATTGGTTTACCCTAAACATCCATTGAAAAATGATTCTTCTTTCTGATAAACAAATTGTCCTAAATGTATTGTCCTAAAGAAAGCACTAGGTTTAATGTCCTATGTCAGTGACTCCCAATGTGTTTTAAGAAGGAAGAAAGACAGAAGCATAAGTATATTCTAAGGATGTAAATTAGCAGAAAGGATTAGTAAAGAATTAAAGGCGATAAGGAATGAAATTTAAATATTATATAAGTTGGATAGCATATACATTAGTGTGTATATTTAATAAAATCCATGTACAATTAATAAAATTTAACAGATTATCAGAGATTGTAAAAAAACTGGAAGAAATTACATGACAGTATTAGTCCCCGATATAATAGAATATGCTTGGGGTTTAAAGCCTTCACCACAAAGGTCTCATCTCAATGCCACCACAGATGGCATTGACATAAGACCTTTGTACATTTATTGTCACACGTCTTAGCTACCAACTATGGTAAATGAAAGGAAAAGATAAACAAAATAGCCCAAAAGAGTGTGGAAAGTTGATGTAAGCCAAGCTAGTAAAAAGAAAAGATCATAGCCGCTTAGGTAAGCAAAGGTAAAGCATTGAGCAGAAGAAGAATAAAATACCTATGAAAGATAGAAGGATTTAATGTAAGCTAAGAGATCAAATACAAGGTCACAAAATTGTTTCATACTGACCCAATAATACCTAATGATTGAATATATATTGTATCATGAGGCTAAAAATCAAGGCAAACAGAAGAATGTAACCTTTATCAAAAAAGATAATTCGGTCTCTAAAACCTTCTAACAACGCAATCTCTAGTCTTGTGATGAACAGTATACAACTTTTTATTACCGTATTTTTTGGACTATAAGATGCACCGGAGTATAAGATGCACCAAGATTTCGAAGAGGTAAACAAGAAAAAAAGTTTTTGCCCTCCCCGGCCCCCAGGAGCACTCTGCAAGCCTCCCATACCCTCTGCGCATTCTGTTTTTGTGAAAAACGGAATGTGCAGAAGCTTTGGGATGCCTGCAGAGTGCTCTTCGGGGCTGGGGAGGGCAAAAACGGTCATGTTTTTGGCTTCCCAACCTCCCCACATGTCGCGTTTTTGCCCTCCCCAGCCCCCCAGGAGCACTCTGCAGGCCTCCCAAAGCCTCTGCGTGCCCCATTTTTGGCCTCCCAAAACCCCCGCATGTCATGTTTTTGCCCTCCCCAGCTCCCAAGAGCATTCTGCAGGCATCCCAAAGCCTATGTGCACCCCTTTTTGCGAAAAATGGGACTGTTTTTGGTGAAATCAGGACATGCGGGGGGGTTTCGAGAGGCCAAAAATGGCTGTATTCGGTGTATAAGATACACCAACATTTCCACCCTCTTTGGGGGGGGGGAGTGTGTCTTATACTCCCAAAAAGTATGGTATATATTCTATTTCTAGTATAGATAATACTGTCTCCAATTTCTGCTACAAATTTTATTCCCCTCATGGAGTTGAGTCTTCTTTCCTTGAACTACATTTTGTAAACACACTAATAACACAAATAATGATTGTAATATTTTCTGAACTCCAGATGCAGCCAAATAGCAAAATATAATTGATAAAACTGTAAAATAAATATTTACCACCTTGTCATTAAACGGCTATTTTAGATAGGATTTTAAAAGATTCTATACAATATCAGTTCAATAGAATAACATATTCTGAATTCTTGAAAATTTTGGAGGAATGATATTCTATTCCATTTGCCCAACATGGTCGGTCTGTATTCTTGTACTTTTAACAATTATTGTACAATAAGTACAAAAACACTTCTAAATGTAAAAATTCAGAGCATATATTTAGTGAACAAATAGCAGGCTCTTTCAGGGTCAAACTATAGAAAGTTTATAATCATAAGCTTTAACTCTTTTAATTTATGTTCTCTTCTATCAGCATTATGAAAAAGTTAGCAGATTAGAAGATGCTCAAAATTTGTTAAATCGTCTTTTGTACTAAAGTTTGTATATATTCTTGAAACTAATCAGGTATTTTTAAATATAAAAACATTGTCATACTTTTATAAAATGAATATTAGAACATATGATTCAAAACTAAATCTTTTAAATTCTGGGCAGGCATGCTGGCTGGCAATGATAGAAGCTGGAATCCAGCCATATCTAGAATTTGCATCCCTGCTTTAAAGTTCTTTTGATATATAATTTTCAGAAAGCAATACTGTATACTTTATTTTCCTCTACATGTATCCTTTCTTTCTCTAATAAGCTATGCATAACTCTTTCTACTTTAAAATGAACACTTTGCTAATAACATTTTATCTAAAGAAGCTTCACTGTTCTATTATTTCTTCTTGTCAAATGGCCAGCTTTGCTGTCATTCTTCTACTTATTATAGACGGATCCTTTGAATTTTATCAGGAATATATGGGGAGCCTTTACCAGAAATCCTACTTGACAAGAATTTATGTAAATCAATACAGAAGTACTATATCAGGGAAAAAGATGCTTCAGAGCACATGAAGGCATGAGTTTAACACCCAACTGCAACCGCTGTCGGCTATCTTCTGCCATGAAAAAAGTTTGTTTTAAGAACAGAAACTGACAGGGCTACCTTAGAAGCCTTACATGCTATGAAGTATCTTTTTTCCTTCAGAGCTAAAGCACTGCATCATCTTATTTGAAGAATATTCTTTGTGTGTGCTGTTCCAAAAGAATGGATGAAAAGCATGCTTGTGCCTTAGGACGTATTCCTGTATGCTTCCATGCTTTTCCCCTGCTTGTTTCGTTTTCTTGTGTTTCAGTTTGCTGTTAGGCTTTATTTTGTTTTTCTTTTAGAATTGCTTGTCAAAAGTTTGACCAGGATAAATCTTTATCCCCAAGGAGTGCTTTATAAGAAACCCATCAAGTTTGTTGTATTCATTATGCAATTTTGTTTAGCCAGCTTATCAGAATTTGAGACAGAAAGTGGACAACTTTGTATCTACCCACCTGGATAAGCAAGAATGGAACCCAGCAATGAACAAAAACCAACTGCGGAATGGGCTCAGACAAAGTGTGATTCAGTAAGTAGAAGGTACTAAATATAAAAATTGTTGAAGATAAATAAGCCCTTATATTTTGATAAGAATTAGAAGAATGTTTCCTGGTAGTTTGTAGACCTTCATCTATATATGTTTTACCTATTGAGGTGTTACTTAGACCTCTTTGCAGTCTGACAGATAAGCTGTGTGGACATTTTGATGGGGTGCAGCTATTTGTGCAACCAAATGGACATGGGTTTGCTGCCCTGTAAACTTCTTTAAAAAGACCTGTCTTTTCGTAGGTTCATGCTGTAGTATCAAAAAAACAGCATGTTTCAGATAAGGAGAGATGACAGTTTATATGGAAATCCCCATATATTTGGTTGGATTTTCAGAGAGAGCCTGAACATACAGTATATGCAATATATTATATAAATGTAATATGATGGGACATCTGAGCATTCTTACAGGACTCGTGTTTCTAGAGCAAGTGGCCACATAATGGAGGATTACAAGCAATCCTTCTTTTGAGGAGAAAACAGCATATTGATAATTTGCAGTATTTTAAATCTCCTCCTCTTTTATCATCTCCAATCCCAGAAAAGACTCAATACTTCTATCAGCTTAAAATTGTACAGTGTACTTTTGTCCAGCAGAGTGCAGTGGTAACATACTTTTTGTACAGTTTCCTGAGTAGTTATTGCACTTAATCAGTTCACACAACGCAGCATGTGTTCTTTGTAAATATATAGAGAATATCCACTAGTTTAATTATATCCTGTGATTTAAGTAAAATTAGATTTTGAATGCCTTCTATAACTTTTTAATATTGTAAATTATTCAGGAGAAATTATTGGAACGCATCTTCTGTTTGAAGCATGCAGTGAAGAGGAAATAATGAATTACAATCTGTTGCCATACATGTGCTAAAAATGTATATGTACTTAGTAGCAGATATTTAAAAACATAGCCAAGAAAAAAAAAGAAACAGAATAAGAAAAACTGAAATAAAGTAGAAAAGAAATATAAAAGCTATACAAAACTGAATAAAAATTCAAAGTAATATAAGATTAGTATTGCATATTAAGATTTGTATCAGTTTAAGACTTTAAAACCATTATGGAATGAAGCCATTGTTCATTAATTTAAAAAGTGATCAGTGTAATATGAATAATAAGAAATAACTATTAACTGAAACATTCAATATAAAAATTGTATATTTATCAAGCTAAAATTAATATAAAGACCTATGTTAAGAAAAACCTAAACTTCAGATGTAGTTCATATCCATATGTAGAATTATAATGCACAAATGTTTTTTGAGATAAATTATGTTATGTATCAAACTTATTTTTCAAATATAAGATTATTTTTAACAAGATGAATACTCCCATAGCTTAATTTGCCATTCTTCTAAAGAGGGACTTATATGTGATCTCTACTAAAAGGCATAAAAAATCTGGGCAGCTGTTGCCATTTAAAAAGCCAACTTAGTGTATTTTGTAAGATAGAAGTTTGGTAATGTTCAGTGAAAACAGTTGTCAGAAAAGAGAATTCAGCCTTTAAAGCTGTTTCATTCTGTAATATATCATCTTTCAAAATTTTGAGCTTTACAACAGTGCCACCAGATAGAAAAATATTATTTGACCTATGTTGCATTTCCAGCAATTTTTAGAAAATGTGTCTATCTTGGCAATATTCACTGGAGTAATATACCAGTGGTAAAACTTATTGTGTTAGTTTTCTCTATGTGTAACATTCATTTGTCTTCCATTTAACAGCCATCCTATTGTTGCATAGCAGTTATATAATTTAAATTCTATATTCATTTAATCATATCATCTTCCATTTGTTCAGTTCAGTTTCTAAGTCATATTTCAATAACATCTTCTAAATGAGTCCAACAGATGGTCTGAAATAGGTTTTTCACATATTGTCATAACTCTAACCATTTGCCTTGTTTCTATAATTCCTTTTGAATTATGTTGCTTATTTAGAGGTATTGGAAATAATAAAGTGAATCTGACCACTTAGAAGAAAGAATTTTGAAAGATTTAATCTTTGGGTTTTTATAAGAATTGTCTTGCAGCCTATAAAATTACTACACTTACCAAATTTTCATTTTCTTGGAATTTAACATTGAAACAAAGAAGAATAAATCTGACCTGATTCTTTTTCTGTGTTTAGATATGCTAAAACATAAGTGCCATAATAATGTTTGGTGAAGTTCAAAATGGCACTGATAAAGGCCTGTTTTAAATTCTAACATCCAGACACTCAAAAGTGAAGGACTTAAGGCTCTAACTGGCAATTTTAAAAAATATTTTTTTATTCATTTATATCTAAATGCCTATGAAGATTCTCAGTCATCTAGGTCATGGTTGTCCCAGAGGTGCTTTTTCAAAAGGCAACTGGACTTTCTTTGTTTTGCTGTTGAAGATGTTTTGCTTCTCATCCAAGAAGCTTCTTCAGTTCCCACCTTTATTTTACTTATTTATATCCCACCTTTAATATTTTATAAACTGAAGATAACAAATTACCTGGCCATAGACAATATAGCGTTTGTGGGTAATGTTATTTATTCATATAATGCTGTTTCAGTCACAAAATGCTAACAGCTTCAGTTATGCTCTGACTGAAAGTCTGTGTAACCAAAAACAGTCATAAAACATATCCTCTGTGAAATAGATTGAAAGCCGTATAATACATGCTGCTGAAATTTCTTTTAAAAAAAAATGAAGGGGAAGTGCCACCTCAAACATGTCATCTAATCCCTTTGGAACACCATAATTGGTGAGACCGACATTGGCCCTATTTAAATGAGCCCTTAAAACCTGGGCCCTTGGTTACAGTAATCAATGTTTAACTGTCATTGATTTTTCTGGACATTCTTCTTTTGGTGAGGTAATTCTTTGTTTTTACTCTTTTGTTTTTTACTGTATATTTTGTATGTTGCCCAGAGACATTGGGGCTGTTTATAAATTCAATTGAAAAATTAACAAATGTGGAAGTGATCAGATTAGCTTTCTCTAGGAAAAAGGCAGCACACTAACTGAAAATCATCTCTAGTGGCAACAGTGAGAAGATCTTAAATTCACAAAGTAAGATAAAGCTGTTACCAGCTGTTTAATGTGACAGAAAGAACATGTTAAACCCATGACTGGAAAATAGTTTTATCTATCGACATATTTAATGTTAATTTAATGTTGGCGTGAATTAAATGGACATTAATTTTGCCCTAGCTTCATGTGCTATATTTTCAAATACAGCGCCCATTGAACCCACCTTGCAGTATAGCAAGTCCTCCAGGCTTCATTTGTATGAAATAAGATGTGGGTGTTTTGTATAAATAGAGCAGGAGCACACACTGAGTTCAAAATATAGTTTGGTTTAGTTTATTAACTGTTGTACAGCTTAATCAGGGTAGGGCAAAGAATACAAAGCATTTCTCTTGATTTCTTTCTGGACAGAAAGACAATATAAACAGATCTACAAATCGTTTGCAACACCAATCAATACTAGTTACCACGAATTTATTCCAAGATGCATTTTGCAAGCCATCTTTATGATGTAGATATAGTCAGTTTGGGAAATCAAGGAATTTTTAATCTGAGGCAAACCTTTTTGATATAATAGAATAAATGCTAAGGAGAAAACAGCATCTGTGTCACTAATTCTTAGCTTTGCTTGTTCTATGATTGTGGATATCCTTTTTCTTGTTTCTTGGGACAAATTATGCACCACATAATCCCCTCCTTTTTCATTTAATAAGTTTGCCTTAGAAATAAGATAAATATAACACCATCAATTGAATTCTGCCTGTGTTAATCTTGTGGATACTCAGAGCACCTAGTGATGGTTTCTAGGTATAATTCTGCTACTATAGAAAGCTTGCCCACTATAATAGCAATATTGCAGCCTTTATCTGCACTGCATAGAGCTACTATTGCAGTACAAGGCACAACTCAACAAGTAGGAGGTAGAAAAGCATTCGAGCAGATCAGAGTTCATGCCAGATTAGACCTGCCCTTCTGAAAGGCTGAGTGTCAAAGAATACTGATCTTCTTAAGTGCCCACATAGCCTCAAAATAGCAGGTACTGTTAGTTTTCTGTCCAGGAGGTAGGGTCACATTAGGTTTGCAGTTGCGTTCCCAAATGCTCTTCAGTGTCTCTGTTTTTGCTTCTTGGCTTTTTGCAGACATGACTTAACCCAACCAGACAGCTGATTCCCTGCCTCTTTATCCAACACAGCCTTGAAGCAATGTCACTTCTTGGGTTTTGACACACTGTTCTCAAAAAAGCTCTTTGTCATGTGTTGCAAGTGTTTGTTTTTGTCTTGTGAAAAAAGTTCCCATATGTCTAGACGTGGCAGAGGTCAGAGCAATTGACAGTGGTAGAAGGCCACCTTTCTCCTCTTCTCTTGTACCAGCCAAAAAGGTCACTTCCCTCACCCACCTATCCTTACCAATGGATGTGCTTTTCCCCCCTCTGCTTTGTGTGAAGGCAGGTTTTTATTTGTTCTTATTTGCATCCCACAAGCACCCTAACGCAACTTCTGGCCACGATACTTTTTAAGTGGTTGGGCGACCACGTATCTGTTGTCCATTTTGCCAGCACTCTCGAAAGTGCAGGCTCAGAGCCATCTGGGGTTTCTTTACAAAAGGTGGGGTGCTTCTCCCATGTAAATGCTACCAAGAATGCTGTCATTCTTACCACTCTAAGGCTAATTGCAGTTGACATGATGGCTCCAGAGAGCTCTAGGTGGGGGCTGCAGGGAAGATCTTTGACAGAAGCTGAATGGCTCTTTTGTCTCTGCCCCAGGTCAGGGATGCTGGAAGCTGGAGTAGACAGAATTATTTCTCAGGTGGTGGATCCAAAACTTAACCACATCTTCAGGCCACAGATAGAGAAGGCAATTCATGATTTCCTGGCTGCACAGAAGAAAGAGGACTTGGTGCCAGCTCCTCCTCCTCCCCCAGAGCCTGAGAGTCAGAATCCTTCTCCACCCCAAGATACCTCGTAAGGTCTGGTATTGCTTCATGTCTTTCTTTGCACACATTTGTAATCCTTTTGTGAGCCACCCGTATAAATTAAATAGCCAAAAGACAGTGCCAAAATTACTACAAAAATAAGAACAAGCTGTGACTTTGAAGTCTATAATATTTGTCATTAAAAGACTGCAGTATTGTACTTGGTCCTGTCTGTTAGTAATAGTACATTTTTTACCAGGCAAGGCAGCAATTTGGTTATTGAGTAGCTACTCAAAGATACAGGAAGGACTGCAGCTCAAATTATCCTTGAGTTAAAGGCTTAATTATTAAGACTCCATTAATCTTGAAAAAACAAAACAGACCAGTCATTAAATATGTGAAGAACGACATAGATTCATGTATAGAGTGCTGTTTCAGCTGAGCCTGAATTATCTTAACTAACCGATTTGGGTAACTTACACAATTGATTAGGAGTCAATAGCCATCTCTCAGGTAGCTCTCATCTTGTAGGACATAGGTTTTGCAGACTCCAGATAGAGCATCCCAATGTTGGTAAATACTAACCATTTCTGTTAGATGCTCCATATAACACAACTCGCTATTCTGAATCAAAAATTAATGGCAGTGAATTTGAATGTGCATTGCTTTGTTATCATGAAGTTAGAGATTTAGGGAACCTCTTTTAGAACTTAGAGAACCAGATCTACACTGAGCTCCAACTTGCTCAAACACAGGAATAGGAAATTTGCCTTTTGGTTTTCTTCACCAGAATCATGAGTTGCTACCCTATAGGCTGCATCATAGAGAAAATCCGGTCTCTACTGCAGAGGGTTTTCTCTGTCTTCACACGTGGTATGCATATAAAGTTTAGTGTGGTATTAAGGACATGCCCCTCTCCTTATTTAGACATACAACAAAAATAGATTCTCTTTTAAAGCTACGCCTCAAGCCATTGGAAACCACAAGGTCTTGTTGCTTCTAGGATTCTTTTAAAGGTAAGTCAGATGGCGAAGAAACTCCACTTTTTAGTGTATAAAATAACTGTATTTTAGTCATTTGTCAAGAGAAAATACAGTTGCCAAATCCTGATAGAACATTGAGAGCACACTCCTTAATCTTTGTTCCATTATCACAGCATATTAGCACATCAATCTTACCATCGATAAACCGAATAATCAGGTTTATGCTGAATTTAGAGCCTTTCTGTTTGGCTATTAATTAAGTTGAAGTAGCAGCTGGCTTAATGACAGTATAGCAAAACTGATTTTTATCTTTTCCTTTTGCAGTGCGTTTCTGGATTTAAGGTGGCTACAGTTTCAAAACCCAGGCTGACAATTTGGCAACGGGCTACATATCTGCAGGAATACAGATTGTCAGCTATTATCAACTGCGATTGAGGAACAGGGTTGGCAAAAGTCACCAGTGCTTTCTGTTTGGAATGGAGGGATCAACTAGATGTGGAAGAGTATTGCTATTTGCTGAAGTAGCATCTGTTTTGCTATTTCTGTGTTTGGGGAATGGCATCTTTTTAAGGAGCCACAGTAGGGGAAAGGGTTTCGGGTGTGATGTTAGTGGATTTGGTGGTATCGGGAAATGTAGCAATAGGAAAGGGTACATTTTTCAGTATGCTTGGTCTCCTTAGAGGCCGCTGTGTCAGAATTACCCAGAAGGCTAGGTAATTGAGCAGTGAGCATGCAAGTATAAAGCAGTTCAATTTACTAGAAAATGATTCTTGGGTCTAGATCATTATTGAATTTAAGTAATACCTCACTTGCAGTGCCTATCCAAGTCTCTTTCAACCACAAGAATTTTTCATAATTGGCTTTTTACCAGTGTCCAAAGCAAAGTCTGTGCCAGATTTCTGGGGGTGATGTCTTTTATACCTTGATGCTCAGTTCCCTTACAGTCTGATCAAAGAAATTGGCATGGAACAAGAAATGGCTTCTTCTGGGGGCTTTGCAGTAGGAGACCGTTGTCTCGTTTGTGACATTCTTCAGGTGCCTGTTCAAAGCTGCTTAGAGAGCCTCAAAAACTCTCTGATGGACATTTGTGTGCAAATATTTGGCAAGCAAATATCTGAACACTTTTAATAATAAAATGTTAGAAAAAATCTCAGTTGTGGAAGTGTTTTTATATATGGATATCTATTCCATCACATTGAACTGATGTATCTGCTCAGTGGTATTTGTTGTCCATTTCAAAGGATTTGTTGGAATTTGAAAGGCTTCGGGGATTGAATGTTCTGATCATATTTGCTTCCATAAGTCTCTTAACACTAGTTAAATAAACTAGTTTAATACAATACCAGGCCAATATGTTAGGGACTTTTGTATTGTTCTTACTCTACAATAAGTATTTGTAATGTTTTATTTCACTTTCCATATTAGTGAAGCACAAGGAGATGTAGAGAAGCCATCAAGCTCTCAACAGTGGTGGAGTCTTTTTAGGGACACTGGATTTAACCTCTTTCAAATCGCTTTTGGAAATTAACTATTTAAGTATCTTAAGACTAATAGGGAACTTCAAAATGACAAGTTAGCAAAATCATCTGGTGTGCTTACCTTCATTGCAGAATAAAAGAAAAATTAACTATAAATCTTAAGATTTAAAGAATTTAAAATAAACAACAAGATGCTAAATAAGAATTTAACTCAAAGTTATAAATGAATTAAGAGACCACACAAATTTGGAATACTAGTGGTTTTGTTATAAGATTTTGGAAATAATTATATATAAATAGACAACACCTTTGTGGGAACCAAATTGTTTTAAAGTCATGATAGAAATTTGACACTGTGTGATTTCAGAAATTGGACACTAGAGGGGACTAAAGATTCCAGATAGAAAAGGAAAAAGAGGGAAAAACAAAAGCCTGCCTTTTCTTTTAGATCAGTATCAGTACTGTTTTTATGGTTTCTGTTTATTTAATTTTTATTTTATATCCCTTCATTGCTAGTCTTTTGGAAATTCTGCAGTGACTGACTCTAAAACTGTCATTTTTAGCTTCCTGAAAGCTGTCTGAAATGTATTTGGAAGTTTATTGTGAGTGCTATCCTGATGCCTTTCTGTTGTGGGGTCCTTAGTGCTCTCTGAGCTTGGCTGTTTTCTTGCAGATGTTTCATTGCCAAACTAATTAACATCATCATGCTAGGGGGAAGTGGGATTTGCTCTTATTTTTATATATTAGTGGCTTAGCCTATCAGTGTTGTTGGGAGTGTCTTGGTGATTCCTTGATTAAGCTGTTGTATACTGTAAACCTGTTTGTCTGAGTTGGTAGTTCCTTGATTGAGGTATTGTTTAGAATAATAAAGAATGAAGAATGGTCTTGTCTTCTAATATGTGTGTATGTATCATATATATCAGAAGACAACAAGACCATTTTTATAGGCATTTGAGGCAGCATATATAGCATTTCCTGCTCATAGTTAGTATTTATGAATCCCAAAAGGAATGTGCAGATGCTAACTAGAGCTTAAAAAGCATTGAAGATTTGTCTCAGTTTGAGATCAGCCACAATCCCAGAATAGGGGTCAGGGATGTGGTTATTATTATCTGGAGGATTCTTGTGGCTTTCAGGGACACTACACTGCAAATAATGGATATTAGGTGCCATTAGTGAAATTGGGAATCAGTTTGGATTGCTTCGGCTACGCCAGCTTCCCCACCAGATTTGCTCAAATTTGATCAGATTAGTGGTGAAGTGCCCCTATGGAAGAGCATGCCCTCTGAGATTCAGATGGTCCTGAACCTGTTGGCCTTTTGTAAAGTGTTGAAGACTAGTTCTCCTTCTGGACAGTGAGCTAGACTGTCTGTCTTTGATGATGTAATTGTATATCTTGGAGTCATCCTGACCGTGATGTGTGTTTTTTTTTTTAAACTTTTTATTTACAGTTATTTTAGGGAACAGTTGTGTCAAGTGCGCAGTCATAGAAACTGAAGTAATAGTTAATTAATGCTAATTCCTCAGGCAGCCTTAGGCTATTGTATAAGTATTCTGATACCCCAAGTAATACTGCATCAAATAGTTCTCTTAATTATAATTTCTTTTTTAAAATAAAAAACCTGCAACTTCTAGGAAAAGTTGGTCTTTGGGTGGTTTTTGTATTAGGTCAGAAATAAGAGGCATAAATTAATGATATTTTCAGGGAAACTAAGTATCTAAATAATACAAAATGCATAAATTTGCATAATTAATATGAATACCCTTAAAACTATTCTCTCAAGTTTTCCAGGGTTGACAAATCCTACACTATGATAACCCTGCAGTCTTATGCTGATCCTCTGTAAGTGTCTTTCCCAAACTACTCTCCAAATATATTGCTCAAGTTGGTTACGATAGATGGGGGATGTAGTCCAGCACATGGGAAGATTGGGAAAAGGTGTTCTAGAAAATAAAAAATGTTGATTATCTAGATGGTGACAACCATGAATGAAAACCTCTGAGACAATATAGTGATTTCCTGGAGGTCATGAATTTTAAGCTTTCTTCAATTTAACATTTCAAAGATATTAAACAGCTAGTGACGCATGTCAATGTCCCTATATTTGCAAAGATCAATTCTCATGACAAACTTGAGTTTAAGTAAGCCACGGAAGGCACCTGCTATACCTGCTATACCTGTTGATATTTTAGGCAATAGTACCTGCTATTTCTGTTGATATTTTCCTTAACACCTAGTAAATTTTTTGTCCTAGTTTAATTTGGGTAAAAACAAAATTTACATTGGAAATTGTCTTTCTTAGAGAAAGGCCTGTGACACTTGGACAGTAGAAGATATCCTTAAGCATCTAGGAGTAGCAGAGAGAAATTCACCAATTTGCCTCCTACTAAAGGTGTGGCATGGGGGGAGTTGAGTCATACTGACAACGACCACCACTTGTTCAAATCACTTGTTTTGTGATAGTGCCAGCAATATCCTCTTAAAATCCCAAAGTCCCTACTGGTTCAAAACTATTGCTTAGTCCTGCCATGAGCTAAGTAAGTTAATTTGAGGAAGGTTTGAAACATTTCTGCTGAACTTCGCTGTTGTTATAGTTCGGAAGGAAGCAGCATCTGCTCAGCCTTCAAAGGAAATTGTAACAAAAGAAGCAGAGGTATCTATGGATTGTGATCAAAACAATCAAGAAGGCAGCCACAATGATACAATCAAAGCACTGCCTGTTCTTTTATGTGGATTGCCCAATATCTTATGGGCAGCTACCCAATGAAACGTTGATCTTGTCTGCTCGTCTTTGAGAAAAAGCCTAAATTTAAAATGACCAAGCAGAAACACTATAGTTTGTCCACTCAAATGATGTAACTCGGGAAGAAATGGAGGGCTTTCCTTCCAAAAAGTGTCCAAAAAATAGGAGGATATTTCAGATGATGGGACTCATAGGATCAAATGGGCTGCTTCTTCCTAGAAGACTTCATAGGTTTTAATTGAATTGGTTCCTGTTTCTTGGAGCAGTCATTTAATACCTTGGATGTGCTCTCTTGGAAGAGTATGCTAGTGCCATTAATAGGCCTCAGGAAATTGCTGCATTTTTTCATCTGATACATTTATAATGTGAAAGAGCTTAAAAGATTTTCTGCCTTCTCAACTTTCTCCTGTCATGGTCTATATACTAGCCTGCTTAGTCATGAGAAACCAGCTGTGATTTAATTTTTAATTTATAAATAAATAAATTAAACCTTGGGCACCAACTGAAGATTGTATTTTTCAAAAGCAGCACAGTTCTTTGAGGGTTTAATATGTATAAAAATAGGAAACAGCAAGACATCTTTGATATTATAGCTGCACAATTTGCTAGAAAGTTTTCAGCAAAATGGAAAGTGTAGTTTTACTGTAATTGTATCTCTTCCCTACACCTCCATTCCCTTCAGAAACTTCGTGGGCCTTTTGACTTTTTAATTTACCATATTTAAAAGTGGCCAGTGTGACTGAGGTTAATATATAATCTGTTCAAAGTACATTATATACTCAAATGAACTCTGCTTGTATTCATTTTCAAGCCTTAACTATCACTCTTTTAAATAAGGAATGGGGTGAAAAATGTTTTATACACCAGACTATTAGAATCCCTTTTAATTTAAATGGCAAAGAAAAATCCAGTATTTATTCTTTTTTTTTTTTTAGCAATTTGGATATACAGTGTTGACATTCATCTTTGTCATATAGCACACTGACAAAAATAAATGAGCTCTACATTCAGGGATAAAGAAACATGATTTGTATAAAGACAGAAAAGCAGTCCAACTGTAAGACCTGTCAGTTATGCATGTTTGGAAGAAGAATGAGTTGACTTCTAGACTAAAATGAAAATAAGTAAATTTAAGTATCAGATGTGTAGTGGGCGCATGTAAACCTAGAATGTGAGAAATTACCTTCATAAATTGATCTGGTTTTTTTAATGTGAATATTGATAAGATAATGTTTCTAGATCATCCTTGTGGATGTAACTATGAACTAGAGTCAATTAAATTGCAGTTGAGCCATTTGTATGTCAGTGTCTTGTAGGAACCCAGTTATTGATATGTGTTTTGCACATTTTATTTAGTGGCAAATATCTGTAGCTCGGGTATAGGATGAGGGTGAAGGTTTCTTCTCCAAGCTTTTGGATTGGTTTCCGAACATTTCATTACCAGGCTAGGTAACATCCTCAGCAAGGTTTAGGGGATGTCAGTGTTGTTCTGTTTATAAAGGCTTCGTGTGGTCAGTAGGGCTTGTGATGGGTCAGGTGTGGGTG